TTCAGAATGTTTGTGTAGGCTCTACTAGTAACTATACACTACCAAACTCATGTTCTCACTAAAGCATTGCTCATAAATTATGCGAATTTTTTGTACAAAAAATGTGTCAGTTTGGGTAAGAAGATTAGAAGTTTTGTTTTCTCAAGTGTTTGGTAATTTTTCTCTTTAGAGATACTTCCTTTTCATTTTTATTTTTTAATATTTCAGATTAATATGAAGGTACAAATGTTTAGGTTACTTGTTTTCATTTCTTTCTTTCTTTCTTTTTTTTTTTTTTTTTTTTGCAGTTTTTTTGGCTGGGGCCAGGCTTGAATCTGCCATGTCTGGTATATGGAGGCAGTGCCCTACTCCTTGAGCCACAGGTGCCACCCCACATTATTTTCATTTTTTAGGTAACGTTAAAGTTGTAGTTGAGTCCTTCACTTTGGAGTGTGCTGAATACTCTCATGCTGTGCAGATTAGGTAAGATCCCACCAACCACCATCCCTTCTTCCTTCCCTTTCTACTTTCCCCTCTCCCTTGCTAGACTATACTTGTGTTTTTTCTTTCCTGGGGGCATGTATTCATGAAAACATAAAAGTATTCACAATACGTTACTAAGAAAACCAATTAAGGTTTTTGTCCTCCTATATTTTTACTAATTTTTCCTTTAATTTCCAAATGAAAACTCGTTTCCATGTGAAAACACAATTTGACCCTTATTTTGCTGAACAATAGGCTTATGTATAGTATTGATTTTATATTCTGAAGATGTGAGAAAAAAATTGAAGTGCATGTTGGAAATGTTAAGATAGCAGGTTAGATTTCTATCTCTTGGTTTTCACCTTTCAGGTAGTTCATTCCTACTTTTTGAGAAATTGATGAATTGTTGTGTTTCCCTTGCTATCCTCTGGATTACTGGGGAAAATACTCAAAAATTCTGAATAAGAGACTCATATTTGATGTTTAAAGTGAAGAGAAGAGTAAGGAACATTTTTACTTAAGCAGTTATTTGCAAGAGGGAAGCGTATGACCCAGGGGATCTCATTATAAAGTTCAATGGAGTTATTGATGTTTATGATCTCACTTTCTTCATATCCCAAGGGATTCTCTCACTCTTAATTTTAACTTCTTCCAGTGCTATTTGGTAAGCAATTAAAAAGTTTCAAATGAATTTCATACTAATTTGTAGAGCAAAAGTATCTTTAGTTTTCTCTTTGAGGAGAAAGATAATAAAATAATTTACTATTCAGAATAAAGGTGAATCAATTATAACTCAGCTCATTTCTTCTTTCATTTTCTGGTGCCAGGAATTGATCAAAGCAGCATTAAGGAGTCACCAGATTGTCAGGAACTGGTAATCATTCAGAGTCAGTATCTAATAACCTCTTTCTTGAATGGATGATCAGCAAGTTAAGTGACTGAAATGTCTCTCTGGGGAAGACTTGAAGGGAGAATCTTGAATGTTATCTGTAGAATTGATTCTGAAAGGAATTATTCTCCCTCTCAGTTGAGAGGATCTGGGTCTGTGAACTGGTTTGTCTAGAAACTGGTTAAGAGGCCATGAATCTCTGTTACATTGATTTAAGCTGTGTTTCTGCCTCCAGACTTAGAATTTTCTGCTTAATATTCCAACTGGAATCTTAGTTGGCATCTTAGTTCTTTTGGGCTGCCATAACAAAATAACATAAACTAGGTAGTTTATAAACACACAACAAATATTCCTTATAGTTCTGGAGCCTGAAAAGTCCTACACCAAGGGAGCTGGCAGATTCAATGTCTGGGGGGGGGGTGCGGGGAGGACTTTTGGTGCTTTATAGAGGTGCCCATTCACTGTGTTCTCACACTGTAGAAGGGGAAAGGCAGCTCTCTGGGACATCTTCTCTTTCTTTCTTTCTTTCTTTCTTTCTTTTTTTTTTTTTTTGAGACAGAGTCTCACTTTGCCACCCTTGATAGAGTGTCATGGCATCACAGCTCACAGCAACCTCAAACTCTTGGGCTTAAGTGATTCTCTTGCCTTAGTCTCTCAAGTAGCTGGGACTAGAGGCACCCATCACAATGCCCATCTATTTTTTAGAGACATGGGTATTGCTCCTGCTCAGGCTGGTCTTAAACTCATGAGTTCAGGCAATCTACCCACCTTGGCCTCCTAATAGCTGCTCGGATTACAGGCGTGAGCCACCACCCCCAGTCTCGGGACATCTTTTATGAAGATTCTAATTCCATTCACAAGTGTTCTGCCTTCACGATTTAATCACCTTCCAGGGAAGTTACCAGGGAAGTTTCAGCTTTTCAACCTCATTAACTATCGGCTATCATTGAGTTCAAGTTTTAGTTACCTAATACAAAAGAATATCAATGACACTTTCAGGAGCTTGAGTTGATTCATTGTATCCTGTGGTCTGGGTGATAGCATCTATGTCATTAAATTCATTAAGCACATTTTTATTTATTGACCATTGGATATCCTCTTTCGTAAAGTGACTATTCTGTTATGTTGTTGGTCTTTTTTCATTGATTTGTATGACTTCTTTACATTAATAGTTTCTGAATAGAAGTTCTTTCTTTGGTACACACACATTGCCTTTCTTAATGAAACTTTGATAAACAGACATTTTTAGTTTTGTTATGTTTCAATTTAATTAACTATCATGATTAATATTTTGTCACATTTAATAAATCCTTTCCTATTCAAAGGTCACGAAGTCATCACAATCCATATCATTTTACCTTTTACATAAGTATATATATTAACAGAAAAATGTGGTGATCCATTTTCAAAGCTAACCCAAACTTGCATAGCTGAAGTAGATCCACTTGAGATGTATTATTCTTTCTTTGTTTCTACATTTAATTTGTCAGTATTTTATTAGGGATGTTTGCATCTGTGTTAATAAGAGATATTGGTAAATATTTTTCCTTCTTTTGGTAATGTCCTTGTAATGTTTTGAAGTTTAGCTCATGCTAGCCTTATAAAAAGAGTTAAAAAACATGTAATGTTCACTTAGTAAAAGATTAGTGACACTATTGGATTCACATGAAAATTTGAAAAAATTACTATTTGTTAGCATTGTAATTATATTATTAATCTTAATATCCATTTTATTTTTACATTTTATTTTAGGAGCATAATTTTGAGAAAGTCTTATTTCATGCAGAAAATAGTTACAAATTGAACTAAGAGTGGAATTGGAATGTTCCTAACACAAAGAAGTGATAAATACCTGAAATGATGGATATCTAATTACCCTAATTTATTAATTCACTGTATGCCTTATCAAAATGTCACATGTACCCTATAAAGATATGTAACAATTATGTATCCATAATAATTTTTTCAGACTGAATTTCACTTTCTTGCCCCTGGCAAACTGCTATTGTGTCATAACCCACGGCAACCTCAAATTCTTGAGCTCAAGTCATCCTCTTGCCTCAGCTTCCCAAGTAGTTGGAACTACAGGCGCCCGCCAGAATGCCCAGTTATGTTTTTAGAGATGGGTTCACTCTTGCATAGGATGGTCTTAAAACTCCTGAGCTCGGCTCGGCGCCTATAGCTCAACCGGC